TTTTTTTTTTTTTTTTCAACTAATGTACATATAAAATTATTTATAATACTTACATTATTTATGAAATAATTTTCTGTATGTATTATAGAACATTTTGTTTGTTTTTTGGAGATACTAATGAAAGTAACTTTACAAATAATATAAACTATTTTTGTCATACAAGCACAAATAAAATAATACTAAATAAATTTTTTTATATACACCAAATTTTGATTATTAGAGAAATAATTATTTTACCGTCGTAAACTTGAAGTTTAGAATAAAAGTGATAAGTAAAGAATTTTTTTAATTCTGAAATCTTCCGTAGAAAAATTCCATTATTGAACTACATATCATACGTGACAGATTATTGTCAAATTAAAAAAAAACCTTGGATAATTAGGTAAGTCAAGGAATATTATGTAGGATAAACAGATTTTTTTTTTTCTTTTAATGTACTAACGCTACAATACTTTTAGGCCTTGGGGGTTCAATATTAGTATTATTAAGTTTAGAAATACGTAGTCATGCATGTGCACACTAATTGAGATGTATATTGAGAAATAGTATAGTATGACCCAAGGCCCAAAAAGTAAAGAAAGTCTTAAATCGTCCGAGTATTGTCGGATATGGCGAAGCCAAATAAACGACTCCGGCTGTGGGTTGCATACGATTTTTCGGGCCATTGTGTGATTGTGACGCAAAATATAAAATAAGTAGCCAAAACAATTAATTTAACAATACCTTTAACGCTGTTGTATGGACTACAGTTAAAAAAGTTTTTTCTTAATAAATTTTATAGAGTAAAGGAGCGCTAGAAGATTCATGTTTGGTCGTGATTGGTGCAGTAATTACTTTATTAATAACTTAACATTGAACATTTATCATACTGAGGTAGCTGGTAAAACCGAAAAATTTGGCACTATCGTATATATTTACTACAACATGAAGTTTAAATTTATTCCATGGTCATACTGTACGTTTAGTAGCAGACTACCAGCACATGATAAATTTTAGCTTGAAAAAAAAAAAAAAAAAAAAAAAAAAAAAAAAAAAAAAAAAAAAAAAAAAAAAAAAAAAAAAAAAA